AGGGTTTCAGACCTAATCATCTCGATTATATTACTTTTTTTTTGTTTCTTTAATCACTTCTAGGGGTGCTTGGCAAAGCTCTTTTAAAACTTTAGAAAAAATAAAAAATATTAAAGACATTTTTTGCCAAATGATCATTATGGAAAACTAAAAACGGGGATAGCGAAGATTATTCGTTTAAATGCTTTTCAAAAACAACATATTCTTCATTATATCATCGATCGTTTTAAATCTTACTAGATGACTCTCCCGCATTTATTTATAATTTTTATTTTTTTGAATTTTACAATTTTACCTTTTTTATTTATTTAGAGGCTTGTATTTATAATTTATTTATTTTTATTAGAGACATTGTTGTTGATATTTGGGACAATTGCAAAAATGCCACTAAGAATTATCTATTTGCAAGAATTCCACTACTTATGGATTTTTAAAGCCTAAATCTTAAAATTTCAGAGCCTAAAAAATATTTTGACCCCTAAAAACCTTTAACCCTCAAAACTAAACTCTAATACAACATAGTTAACTCAAACATAAATGATATAACGAATTTTTTTCTGAAAAAGTGGCATTTTTGCAAAGATTTTAAAAAAGTTGCATTTTAAAAATGACATTTCTTAAAATTACTCTTGATATTTTGTTGTAAATTTTTTTTGTTAATAATATAAATTTTTGGAAGTTTAGTTTTATCATTTCATTATTTTATATACGTAAACGTATCAAATAAAATATATAATAATTTATTATATTGGAGTGCACAATCTATTATCAAAAGTTGAGATTTCTCTCATTAAAGATTGAATCCCTTATTTGATCATCTTTTTTTTTTAAATGTCATTTTCTTCACATTGAATTTTGAAAAAAAAAACTGAATACGACATCGAAATATGAAAATATTAATGTGAGCAAATATTCGTAAACAAAAAAAATTATAAATTTTTCATACAATACAAACCAAGTACACTACGTTTTTCTCTTCTTTAGTTTTTCAAGCTTTTTTTGTTTTCTATTTTTATTATGATTAACGTCTCTTACAGTTTTTCATATTTTGTGAAAGAAAAACGATTTAGAGATCATTTCATTCATTGAACGATTTTTTGTGGTCTGATCTTTTATTATTTCATATTGAACTTTTCATAATTTTTTTACTAAATATTAAATATAATATGACAATGTTAAACTCATTTTCTTAAAATATAAAAGTTTAATATTATCTTTTTAAAATATTAGCATGTAAAATATATAACCTTTGATTTTTTTTACAT